GAAACCATGATTCAGGCGTTAGAACGTGCTCGGAACAGGTAACGTCTTAATACTCGTACGCATGTCGAACCGTATTTTAAGGGAAAGCTGTGAACTAACTAAAACAAAAGTCAAAGCTCGTTTGCGTTTATTGATTTTCGTAATAAAAAGATCTGTACTGTAAAGAGGGCAAGGCCATGTCTTTGGTATCGCCACTCACTTCGAAAGAGTTGTGGGCAGTATGGGTTTTGAAATTGTGGCAATGACCCCTTTCTCTGTTTTTAATTATAAGGCATAGTTTGTTGAAACATTGAATAATTCGACATATATCTAGTGCGATAGCAAAGCCGTTGGGAGAAGCAATTAGGACTCAGGACTATTACGGATCATTAAAGTAGTTACGGTTGTGTGAAGACTGTGTCTCTGAGATATTGATTAGTGTTTCACCGTTGCTAGCTCGAGAAAAACTTTTCATTCAGCCCTTTGCATAACAGCATGCCCTGTATTTAATATTTGATCCATCGATTCGAAGGACGTTGTCATTCGCCTTGGAAACAGACGGCTGCACTTGATTAAAGCTCCATATTCTGGATGTACCATATGAGTAGCGCCGTTTTCTCATCGTTGTAGATACCCTGTGCGAGCTAGTGCAAGACTAATAAGAAATGCGTATGCTGGTAACCATGTATGTCTGGGAATGATGACGCCCACTTGAAGATCTCGGAGTCCGATAACTTATACAATTTGGCATTTGAGACCAATTCTTGTCTAGCTCTCATCACATGGGTCAACAACGCAATGGTAGGAAATAGCCCAGATCAACTATACAAAACGTTATTGCTAGGAGATGTATCTGATACGCATCGTGATCGCTTAAAGCGTTTAGAACAAGCTTTCCATGTACGAACTAGAGGTAGAGTTAATTCATGTTAACGGACGCTATAGGAGATCAAATTAATCTTAAAGACCTTATCCCTATATTTACCTATGTGAAAAAAAAAAAAAACTGTTCCTACTGTGAGCTTTTTTTTTTTGATAAACAGTATCGTAGGAAATAGCCAAGTTACTTCAGCTTCTACGCCGGTTTTTTTTACCGAAGGCCTTCTGCGCTGGTCTGCTACCATCATCTGTTGCAACACTTCTAATTAACGTTAGACAGCGTAAAGCGACATTCTTCAAACTGTATTCAGTCTTAACTGATCATGTCAGTATTGCGCTCGGCGGGAATCTTCCGGCATGTAAATTTTCAGCCCAGTTGCCAATGGGTAAGGATCAGATAAGCTCAACCCGTACGCCACGTATAGGCCCGATAATGGTCTCGTCATTTAACTCGATGTGTCGGTGAAATATTAAGGCTGGGAAGAAGCAACACCTTAGAGCCTGGTTCGGCTACATGACATATGCTACCGTCAATCAGAGTATGAAGAAGATAAACGTACCAGCAACTGTGCTTACTTTCGCATTAAAATATGTTTGCTCCCAGCGAGGAAGTAACTTTCAAGTTAAATATTAGTCACACAAATAAGTTATACAAAATTGGCCATTGAGAAAACCATGTAATTAGCTAATCTTAAAGAGAACCGAGGAGCTTGTTTAGCAAGCTACGCATCGTTCGGGGCCAGGCAGAATGTAACGCGACTTACTGACTTTTCATTTCGCTCGATTTGTTTTACCTAGGTATTTAGATATTAATCTCTAACCTGACATATTTTTTGGGCAAGGGCGCTTGAGTAGAACTTTATAAAGCTTATTTTCGATGGTCGGGTTACCTTATATATTCTTAAAAGCCTTTGTTTATTTTCAGTGCTAAAAACACCTGCAGTCATTCGAAGATTTATTCGAATAGAATTGTGTGTAAATTTTACAGGTTTAGCGTCTTTTTACGCAGCGACCAATATGATAATTGCTTTTCTATAAAGCCTATTGAAAATAATGATATGGTAATAAAGTAGGCGTGCGAATCTATACGAAATAATGCAAGTTACCTATACGGACCCTCGGAGCATATGTAACTATTCTAATGTAAATTATCCTACGTCAGCGGGGGTTCCTTTAAGGCCCGAACACAGGACGAAGTCCAGGCAGCTTCTAGGTCGGCTTAAGTTAATTTCAGAAGTGCGGGTTGCTCCCAGAGCAACGTATGTAAATGTATAAGAAAGACCCAAATTTGAATATTCATTTGTGGATGGCTTTGAATTAATCTATACGCTTACCCAGGCTTTTTTTGCTATAAAATATTAGCGGTGCGTATGCAACACTATCCTGTGTACAGCTTTCTTGTAAATGTGTGAAAATCGAGAGCCTTACCATTAAATCTATTGTATGTCCTTGAGCTCGCGAAGCGAACCAGAGCTGATTTACACGGAGGTCAGAGCAACCCTTTGGAACGTATGGTCTTATTATTTTTTGAAAATGGTGCGAGGTATGTGTTAGTCTGGGAAGCTATACAGTTCACCCGTTCCTGGCTTACAAAACGCTAGCAGATGTTCAAAAGTAGGCTTTTCGATCACAGCTAATGAACCTGATATGATAGTACATCTATTATAACTGCCGCAGGTCCACCATATGATCGGACGCATAGTTCTACTTCGTCACTCTAGTACGTAAATACGCTGGGGCAGTTAGGGCCGGCTATCGCATAGGTCACAGGCCACCGGGCAATTCAAACGAATCCTCGTAGCTGTTTCAAGCTTGACTTGTATTCGCGTCAGATATGTTCGATTATACGGTTATATATATGTATGTACCCTTGCAATCGTCACAGAGATTGGGAGGCGCTAGAACCTGTCTAAGAACTGTTTCACAGCCACTACGTTATATGTTGCCAACTTGGTAGAAGTTCTTAGCAATTAACGCTTGTCTGTGCCTTGAAATCCAAAGCTTTTAGAAAGGTACTAATTAAATACTTTACGAAGAAACATTGTATGGAATGAAATACATTTTTTTTACAATTATTACAGAATATTTCGTTTTTGAGCGAAACTCCAAGCGCAGTTGAAGGTGGTATTTTCTTCAACAGCAGGGCCATAGGAAGAATGTTTGATGGAAATATTGAGATGAGCTTGTCGATAATGGCCAAGCCTTACGGGCGCGAAGAAGCTGAGATGAGACTATGGGTAATCTGCAAAGGTATCTGAATAATTACACGACAAGCAGCGAACTCAAAAAAAGGTTAGAACGATCCATTAAGAGAAGACAGTTAAGTCGTGGCTTCTATTAGCAGATGTGACGTGAAGAATGCAACACAAAAACATCACAGAATATATCATTTCTCTGCTAGCTAGTTTCTCTTAATAAATGTAATTTATTTTCCACATGAACGTTTGGCTTGAACTCTTTCGAAACCTATGTTACCCGCCGTTGCGGGTACCATAGGTTGCAATAACTTATCTCAGGCAACCAATTGCAGAAGACATATTAACAGTTTGGTAGGTAGAAGTTGTGATCAATAACCTCAAATAGGTATCTCCTACGTTGTGAGACCTTAGATGATATTGTGCTGATTATCGTACCCCATCTAGCGCTTGCCCCTTGAATCCGTCCCTCCTTACCTTCAGACCACGAAATTCTTTCAGCTCACACCCGTTTGGTAAACTAGCTCGCGTAGTTCACCTGACAATTCTGTATACTACAGTATGACTTACTCTGGGCGTATCATAATTACGTAGTCCGTAACAAGTTTGAGACGGATAGCTTATTACTACACAGCACCAGCAATCGTTCATACCTGTTACTTCTAGAAGGGTTTAAAAGTGTTTCTTCGTTACCAGCTGCGACAGCAGCTGCCCATGGCAACGGAATCCCGGTGATTTTGAATCAGCATTTAAATATTCTTCTAGGAAATATCATGCTGCCCCTTAGCAGTATTTTGTCTTCATAAAATGCTTTAGCTAATGATAACGACGAAGCCCAGATATCATGTAAAATTTAAACGCGATACAACGATACGTCTTTATAAGACTTGTACCCTAATTGGTCGTTGTTTTTCAAAAGGTTTCCTACAGGAGATAACGAGGGGAGTAGACAATCTTTGAAAAATTGGACGACAGCTTTCTCCGATGTCAGGTAAATCGGAACGCTTTACGGAGCTTACGTCTAAAGTATTTGGAAATATGTCACAAAAAACATCGGCAACACCAGAAGTATTTTGTATAACTATCTTGGTAACTGTGTGGAATATATAAGGGCATATTCATGCTTAAAACTATAAAAGAAAGATTTTTACGCATGGTCTTTGTTACTGATCGGATAAGAAGGCATAACAAATTATCCTTGGTACACCATGTGGTATGAATTTTTTTTTTTTTTTCGATTTTCTTTTGTTCTTCTACGGTTTCGAGATTGCATTGCGCACCGTCATGTTGGAAAGCCTTGCTGGAATTTTTGTCAAGTGACTGTTTCATCAATGAAAGTCTTATATGATCTGCCATCGTACAGACCGATTCACTAACAACTACGCGCCAAAGACATTGTAGATTAAGCAAAGTCAAACACCGTCAGACTCTACTTAAATTTATAACAACAAAACACTGTTTGTATTTCGAGCCCTACGGCTGAAAGGTGTCGTACAAATCGCTATGCAGAGAAGTGTCATTATTAACGCAAAGTTGGCACATCCCTTCATTTCCGGTCAGCATCGTTCCGGTTTTTTCGTTCCGCATGCGGATGCCTTCTGGGAGACTGTTTTTCTCACAAGCTCCAACTCCCTTAGCCTTTAGCTGCTCAACCGGTACAACAAAGTCCTCTATCACACCTTCTGCTTGCCGATGCTTTACATAATAAGTGAACCCCAAAAACTCACTATTAATGTGAATCAACCAAGAAACAGACGCTGTATCTGTCATACAAAGATAAGCAAGCACGTAAATCTTCCACATGAGAAGTGCAGCAAGCTCTGGGGACTAACAACAGACCCAGCTGCCTAACAAGTTATAGTTCTTCATCTGCAACAACTGCAAACCATAATCAATCCTCACAGAGTTGTAAAATTAAGGGCAAAAAAAAGTCTGCCTTTAACACACCTTTGTCGAATGGTATAGCGTTAGCAACTTCAGTGATTACGTTGAGAACTAGTAGCGCTAACAGCAGCGCGGACCCCAACGGGGGGACCATCGCCAAGTCGGACACCAGCGATACTAATTGAAAAGTTCGGCGTCGCGAAAGAGCGTTTTAGCGTTCCGCTAGACCTACATATGGATCTCACATACAAAGCAAAACGAGTACAACCATATTCCTACGAAGCAAACGACACACGACCGTAGAAATAGCTGTCGGAGGATAACACACAGCTCGGTAAGCACACAGCCACAATGAATAAAGTCGCAACAGGCGGTAAGGCCACTCCAGACAAGAGATCTTTTTTGTTTCACTAACGGCGATCTGCAAGCTTGCTTCACGGGCCTCTTGCTATAGCAAGCAGAATTAGAAGCGAGCTGCCGATAGGGGACGCCATCTTGTTAGCTCCAGCTGGCTTAGGAGAGACAGAGAAGCCAAGCTGGAGCGCGAGAGTAACCATGAGCACCTCTTCAATAATTGGCGCAACTACTACTGCTGCTTCTGCTGGCAAAAACGTTGATCGGCAGACAGGAAGGCAAGTCCGTGTCTAGTATGGGGAGCGCAGAAACGAGACAAATCATAGCACGAAGAGTAATTGGAGCAGCCTACGAAAAAATGTAAGCCTGATCTCAGACTATTGAGCTGAACGGGCGGTGAACATTTTGTATATCTTGTTATGGACGATCTAGATGGCGAACTGCTGTTCACAGTTGCCTCAAGAAAAGAATATTCCTGAAGATGCTTTTTCGGTTTATTCGATCGAAAAATCCCGACCACTTTAAGAAGCGCTGTTTGAACTAGTTAATTATCGAACAACAAGACTGAGATGGTAACCGACTGTTTTCATATTTACCGAACCGGAAAGCTATAATATACGGGTCTTCAATGCAAAGCAAACGTGTTGCAAACGATTCATTCGAAGCGTTTACATACAGGCTTGCTATTGCACAACCATCTGCACTGAAATATGTAGGAAAACCATATAAATACGATTATTCATTTAATTAAGAAGGCATCATGTAGCACGTCGTAACCTAGGCAGACCTCCTCCTTAACCTTGGAGGACATCGGGCCCTCTCCACCAAAGGCACCAACCCCAGAGATCTTACTATGTTGCGCAGTGCCTTCTACAGACGGTAGTGGACATACGTCACATCGGATTTGGACGCCGCCTAGCGGTTATAGGGCACGGAACCCCTGTCGAAGCAGCTCACAGCCTCTAGCAAAGGTCTCTGAGCTTTCCATAGTTGCGAGGGCCAGAGCGTGAAGCAAGTCCTTGAAGGAGAGTGAAGCAGGCCTGAAGTTCGCCTCGCGGATCTACAGGAACGTGGCATATGGAGCCTATAGCTACAATTAGAGAAAGGTCACTCAAGCCGAAATGTCATTATGCCTTCAAACGAGAAAAAGGAACTCCTATAAAGAATTTCGGTCAGTTTCGGCGCCTTCGATGAACATGCATACCTCTAGCTTCCTCAAAGAAAGCTAATTAAGCAACTTGATTTGCACCGTTGATGAACTTAGATCGTTCCATTATGAAGGTTGTTAGTTCACTTTATTCACAGTAACAACACTGAAGTTCTATTCTTTTAGTATTTCGATAGTTCGCTGTCGTGCTGCTTCACAGCGTAAATACACGAAAGTATTTTACAGCAATTGAAAGCGGACGATGTTTATGGCAACATTGATTGCTGGATCAGGATTATGACGATTGGTGCAGGATAATTTTAGATTCAAATCAAGTGTATTATCAAGTATATATTCAAGTGTAGAAACGACTTTTTCTTAAAGTGCTTATTATCAAATAAAATTCAACACAAATCTAGGGAAGTAAGTATATGTATGTAGGGTCCCCTCTGCGCTCCAGGATAACTTGCTTGAAAAGCTTGGAAAGCTTTTCAAAGTGACAAAGCAACTAGTGGAGTGCATCATGTAAGCTGATGGTTTCGCTCATCGTTTACGCTAATCTATCTTAATATCTTGCACCTACAAGAATTAGAACCATATCCGTTCAAAATACATCCATGAGCGTCGAAGGGACTCAGTATTAGAAACTGACAATTGGTCAGAAACATTTTGATTCGTTATTGAAATGCTGCGATGCACAAAATACTGATTAAGTTACCACCACCGTTGGATTCGAACCTGTATCGACGTACAGTCTGTATAATAATAATAATACATGTTTGCTGTCATACTCTCTAGGGTCAGTAGGAAGCAATGCGGACATAATATTGCCTTCATGTCCCCCCTCCCAATATATTCCTCTTTATTGTGAGCGTCTCTTTTACATCATACAAACTATCGTCGTCGGTGAGAATCCAGCTTTACACAGATCGCGAAAACAGCATGAATCAGGATATGTAACCCTTCCTATGAACCAAAACGCGCAACAATCTCACATATGCATAGGACACTTCCACTATTTTTCATTAATAAATGTCACAGGTTTTACAATATATATATTCGTTCAGTTTCATTGGCAGAGATGATAGCCATTACCGCTTGCTAATGATAAGACTGTACCGCACATGGGCGTCTTTAGACCTACTTGCCGATGGCCATGGGTGGCGTATGCTTCAAGGTATTCCTTTCCGTACAAGGATATCCGGTTATAGCATTGAACTCAAATGCTTCCACGTTTTTGAGCTTTGAGTCACACTAGGACTGCTCACGTAGAAACGAACAAACACGTAAGCAAATAAAGTACAGTGTTGTTATGTGTAAACTCAAAATGTATGCGTCCTGCTTGCTATCTTAATAGGTCCAATGAACACCGAACACTACTGCCTGATGACTGACTCTTGACCTACATGTCGAGGTTGAGCCTGCGCTTAAATCTCGGTCTGGTCGACAAAGTAAATAAAACAAATTCTTCTCAGTACAAAGTTTCATAGGCTAGTACGAATTGTCAGCTAGTAGTATCGAAAAAAGCATTACCTAGTCAGGCCGAAATTGATGATACCGTCTTTTCTATCTGCCTTTTGGTTATGTACGAAAAAGGCCGAGGGCTAGAAGAAGCAAACAAACAGCAAATTCACTTTTATCTATTACAAACAATATAAAAGGCCAGAATACGTTATATGAATACGCTCGTCTGAGTACGCGTTTCCGCTATTCGTACTGCGCTTGTTCGTCCTACTTACACAGAAACACCCCCCACCTCACGCCCTTCGTTCCAGCTGGCCTATTTTCCCGTCTGATTTCCCGAAATGTTCGCTGAGCTTTCATGCCAGTGCAAATTACGTTAAGGCAATATCCGAGCTATACTTGTTTTTGTGGTCTCTTTTCGGAGGATTCAGGTTGGTTAATAACAGTTAAATTATCTTCCATAAGCTACTATAGCTTAGAGCGTAAAACGGTTGAAACCACATTGAAACGTTTTATGGTTTCATGAAATACCTATAAACAAGGTCGAAGTTACATTCTAATTGTTGTTATACACAATTTTTTAAGCTGGGGTAGTTGTTTGACTGGGTAGGTTTTTTGAAAATTGGCGCCTTCTACTAGCGATTTTTCGTCACATTCGATATGTTTATGGAAACTGCTATTTGATGTTGCTTTTGCAAAGTTTGCGCAAAAAGCTATTTTTAAACAGTTAGCACATTGTGTATAAAGGAACATAATTCCCTGCAAAAATTGCAAGTCGGTAGGTATTCTATGTCTCAGAGATCAGCTGAAGGTTTTCTTTCTTAACAAACTCAGATCTAATCAGAGTAATATATAACAAAAATTCATTCGATTTCAATCGATCAAAAGCGATTTAGAAATTGGAAAAAGATCCTTAAGGCGAGCATGGCTTACCGCCAGTGAGAACCACTGGCGCTCTACGAAACGGTGTTTTTGCGTTTATCTAGACCGTAAGGTTCACCCATAGGATAGGAAGCGTAAGATCTGAACACCTATAGCAGCTCTCGATCAGAAGTATAGTGGGGTCCGATCTTCTGTTTAAAAAGCAACCTCGTATCTCCCTAATAATCGTAAAGAATCAAGAACAGCTGAAAAAAAAAACATGAACACTAAAGTTTCACGTTTACTATTGCTTTTATCACCATCAGGGCTGCTGACCATTAATGGTCAACTTTCTCTAATAGATTTAACGATAGAGAGTGTTGTTAAAGCAGCTGATGTGTGACTTACGCGTTCATAGAATCGATAAGACCCAGCTTTTATATGCGTTGGCCGCTTTCTGCTACATACGCTACCTGCGACCCAAGTGCTAAGTGCTTCCAGCCCGTAGTGTCATTGATGCTGACTTTGCTTATAAATTTAGTCATTATTTAATTTATAGTCGTCCCATTACTTATCGATATTATTAAGTCACCTGCTATCTCAGCATACACACGCTAGTTTTTAACGATCTTGTTCTTTGGTGCATGGACGTTTCCTTTGCGTCAAGCTTCTGATCTCGTACGGACAAAATCGTTCACGCTGACAAACGTCACGTCGTTGTTTGCTCGATACTGACGATTTACGTTACTGCCAATTTTTGGGATATATCTTCTAACGAGTTGAGACTTAAAGGGCTTAGAAATTTATCAAAATGGCGCAAAAAGTCAGTTTTAATATAGTTCAACTCTTGTTACAGAAATTACCAGTTGTTTGAGATAGGCGAATATCAATTGCCGATTGAATCATCCAGATAAGGTCCAATTTGTCCTGAGACTTCTTGCTTTCGCTTTCAACTTTTTAGCCGTTTCAGACTCTTGGATTTTTTGAACCTTTGGCCTGCTATCGGTTTCAAATTTAGTTGAAAAGGAACTTGCTAGTTAAGGGAAGAGTACGTTAGAAATGGCCAGTTAGTAGTTTATGATCGCCGGGAACGACACGTTTATCACGTGAAAAGAAGTTCGCTAAAAAAACTCTGTTTTTGTTGCGCAAGGTAAACCCATAATTTAGGTGCGTTACCCTGAACATATCAGAAAACGAAGATCACTAAGGCCATTGTTAAAAACACAAAAAATAACATCTCGCAAACGCGGCAAAATGAATGGAACGCGCATGTACGGCTCAGGCGAATAAGCGTTTTGCATATCGCTCTGTTATATATATGTATTATTACTGGTAGGTGGATGCGACTTCGGCTTGCTCTTGCTCACCGAGCCGCATGCCTCATGCTTATCGGTAAAATATCCCGGTAGGATCCTTTTATCGACTTGGCGTACAAAGAAAGAAAAATACATTCATTTCTGTGAAGGTAACGACAATCGCAAGTTTCCGGCATGGGTGTGTGGGAGGCGGATCGGCAGCAATGCTTTAAGCACAAAATCATTTCTGAAATCGTACTTTTCCATTGGGTTAAGCATATCGGGCCTGTACCAAAACCCAATACAGTCCAGGCTTTGTCTGAGGCTAGGTCAGTACATGTACTAGTAGAATGGCTCGTTTGCGCTGCTAAGCTTCCTGCTTCGTATACATACTCATAAATTGCATTTACACTTATCCAGAACTCAATGAGTAAATTGCTACTAAAAAAGGCATTATGTTAATACACATCGAACAAAATCAAACTGGCACCTTGTACTCGTCCAACGCCTTTCTCTGGAACAAGTGATCATTTTTTTTTTTATCTGAAAACTTTGTGGACGCGCTCAAGGAGAACAACAGCTGTGTCAGTCATCCTACCTCCTGAAATTGAGATCGCACATCGGTCTCCTAGGACCAACGAAAGCTTCGTCGCTAACAAGATGGCCGATCCAGTATGAAAGCAAAAGCTCGTTCAATATTAGGGTTTCCAGCTAATACTACGCGTCTTATCTATGACGTTTCTTCTGTTTGTTAGTAGTTTTAGTAGAATCCTAAAAGTCAGTTGTATCGACATCATAACCAGCGTAAAGCGTGTATATTAGGTCTGACATTGCCAGCGACGAACGCTATCATATAGAAGATAGGCACTATCATACATAACATAATTGAATATATTAACTGTCTTACATTCTTTTAGTACTTTTTTCACTAAAGATCTTTAAGAGAGAACGCTGCTTAGGAAGGCATATTTACCTGTTACGCTTTCTATATACGGATGAACGGTACTGCGTAGCGCAAGAGTCTATTACCTAAATTGGAAAGAGCATTCAATGTCATAGTTAACGACAGAGTTACGTCAACTCTGTCGTTCTTCTTTGTATTTAAGAAATCTATATGCGAAAGAGTTTACAGGCTTACGGGAGAATCTTTAGCTACCGACTGTTATTTATACACGCTTGGAGTGAGTGACCTTTGAGATGACTTCCGCAGTGAATGGAAATATATACGGATCCCTCTTAAATAGGCATAGTAAAAAAAATCGCTTTACATAAACAAGGATTGCAAACAATACACCTATGTAGGAAGAATTGTTCCGTTGTGTAATAAAATGCCAGCCAGCTTCATACCTATCCTATGAAGCGGGGTCATTCGTAGTTCCTAGACACCATTGAAAAAGTTCTTCTTATTAGAACTGGACGCAGTTAGTGTCTACCGAAGGCGGTCAAAAAGTGCTCGCAACTCATGCCTTATTTTATAGTTTTATAGATCTATTGCAGACTCAAAAATATATTTCAAACTTAACGCGTTGCAATGTCGTGGCAACGCAGAAAAAATATTGCTTTGACTAAGACGTCTCTACGTTTCACCTCTGGATAAAGTCACAATTCATTTCTCTTTGTTGTTATCAAAAAATCATCATGGTATATATACGCCTTCGTATTTCATGTTACATCACTTCCCTATTCTAGTTCGATGAAAGCTATTTATTTCCTAATCTTTTCGATCGCAACTATTTCATTCATTCAACAGTTGGTTATCGCATTATGTACATAAAAAAAAGACAGTTTACATTGAGATGTGAAATGACGTTTTTGAAAGAGCCCGCGTATGAGCGTATGTCTACATCCTGTGCTCTACCCAGTCCGGTTTGTTTTTACAATATCTGTGATTGAACTTCTCAATAGAGCTCTTTCCTTAACACTAGCTTCGGACTTTCTGATAGCACGTTTGAAAGCTTTTTGCGATTTCGTTGACGACCGATCTGCGAAGCGTTTTGAAGACAAAGATGCACTACTCGATGTACTATTATCCCTGGAAAGAGTTTTTTGGATGATGCCATGCCCGTTGCTATTGACGCGCGCTGTGCAGGTACAACTTATTTAAGCTGTACTTCGATTTGGATTTCGAGTTCGCAGTAGAAAATTTCTTTAACTAGTTATTAGATTTGTTATTGCACAGATTTTCGTCTGCTAACACTCCTATATAGGTATATACATGAGTGACACGTGTGCAATAAGCCGGTTTTGACCATCGTCGCTTTTTCAACCACTGAGGATCCACTTTAGGACGATGCTGTTAGATCGTCACTGCACAGTTTACAGACAGTAAAATGTATTGATTGGGGCCAAACGGTTGCGGACGATGACCAGAGCGATGCTGGCAAAAATCCTCGAGAAAAAAGATTGCACGAGGGAGGTAGCCATGTGTCGGGGCAGATATTCAGGTCTTGTTTGTTAGGTCGGCGCGATGGCGTTCTGTGAAAGTACAATTGCTGTTACTTTAGACTTTCCTCGAGTTATTTACTGTGCCCTCTCGTCATCCCGCCCCGTCCTCGGCCTCCACGTCCGCGCGAAGGTACCGGCTTCGGTGCAGTAGGCATATATCCGGCTGGAAGGGGTTTTGGCTTGGCTTCTTCGATTCGACGGAGGCGTTCTTCCTCTGCCAACCGTCGAGCCTCGGCTTCCGCTTCCTGACGCCTGAAAAAACAGCAGCAGCAGTACCAACAACGACATTTGGGTGAAAAATAGGTGAACGAAAGGAACATTTAGAGACCATATTGATGCTTACTCGCTTCGAAGCAGTGTAACGATACAGTTATATATATATATATATATGTGTATAGTGTAATCTGTACGACCTAAGATGCCCATAAGGATGCTAAAAGCTGTTGACTGTGTGCATCTCTGTATTGGAAATTAGACATCTTTGTATACGTATTTACTACAGTTGAATATTAATAATAGAAAAGGTTCGGAAAACTCATCAATCTCTCAATAATCTTGTCTTTGAGGAATACAATGTTTAGAACTTACCCTTATCGATTTGGTAACCTAAATAATCCTGCAATTCATTATTATGTGATTCTTCGAAAAGCTATGGGGTGAACCAGTCTAGGTAAATCTAGTTCCCAATAACCAATCTACTTAATTTTGTTGTTGGGTTTGCATCAGGAATCATCCAGTTCAGAATCAGGTGTATAATCTCACTTGGGTCGTTTTAATCCATCAAGTTTGAATATTTTGCTTATTTACTAAAATTTACTGGAGCCTATAGAACTAAATTTATTTTTCAAGATTACAAAGTGTCTTGCATTTCTATTTTCGTTGCGCCAACTCAGCCGAAAGGAAAAGGAGCGAAAAGCTCAGATGTATTACGAAACCGTACTTTATCTGGTTCTAGACCTTCTTCACGAGTTATACTTTACCCATAATAGCATTAGTTGTCGGTACTCTCATCAAAAGTTTCCCGCCTTTGTCCATAGTCGACCGTACCCCATAAGCCAATAAAAACAGAGGTCAATTTCTATTTTAAGAAACGCATTGTCTGAGAAGCTGTCACATATGTAAGCTCAAGTATTTGTCATCTAAACAAACTGCATTTGTGTGCAGGGATGACCAAGTTCCTATACAGTGCGGTGCACAGATAGAACCATTAAGTAAAACTTGTATAGCGTCCGCAACACCAGCCATTTCTTGTTTTATGCACATGATTATTTGAGTATAGCTAAACTGACTAGAGTTCTATTTTTAGCGTTGTCCTATGTCTGAACACGCACGCACGCATGCTCACCCACTGCGTTGTTTAAAGCCCATTCAACCGAGACATCGTCCTAACACAGTATAACTGGGTTGATCAATTTTTGACCCAGTATCCTATTTACGTAGCATATGCTTTGTCGCATTATTTGCCAGCGATCCAAGTACGGCATCGTGCGTGCACAGACGCAAGGACTCGCGACCCATAGTACAGTATGCTTATTCAAAGTTAGTACGTTCCATTTGTTTAGGCTTCAATTTCGAAATGATTTTGGTCCTGAATTGCTCATATGGCTATGGCCTACGCCAGCCTGTGAGCTTGCAGCAATGGCCATTATTTCGTATTATCTGTACGAAATTTACATCTGATCGATTCGTCGAATTGTCGCCGTGTGTGCGGGTGCTGAGGCGTGTCACGAGTCGAACTCTGTAGGCAGAAAGACGTAACTCGTCCTAAGAGGTTACGGTTCAAAAGGTAAGTCAAGGCTGAAATCATACGAGCGACTTACTCAATCGTCTTTGGCTAAAGCAGAAATGGTATAAATCCAAATGAACGTTGCCCGTTAGGGCTAGATCTTTTGAGAGATCTGTCACAATAAATGCTAGATCTATCCGCGACTATGCGTATCATGAAAGTTTTTGAATTTGAATGAAACGAGACACACTGACATTTTATTTCCGACACAAGATGATCTGTTCAAATGAGACTAGTTAATTTTGTAATGTATCTGGGTTGTAGAGAGGATCAAGAATTTCAGTTTACCTAAATAAGACACAACGATATCTTAGCCCACATCAGTTTATGTATTTCGATAGGGCCTACAGATGAAATCGGGCTTGAGTGCCGCTTGCGCAAGGTGCCTCGAGTAATTTCTATAGACCAAGGCACTGCAGAGATTATGAAGGTTCGTAACTTGTGTCTTTTGCCTAAAACTATCGATTCCAATTGCCAGCGTTTTCGAGCAAGCAACGCATCAATCCCACAAAGGGGGCAATTTGATTAAAAAAAGAAATATAAGCCAGTACCCTGTACGATATCGATAGAACGCGAGAGTGTAGTTGATAGTACACAATTAGAGAAATCGCAGTACGAAACTTGCATAGGTGAGACAGGGCTTCCAATCATACATTCAAATGGGCTATTATCATTATTATTTCAATGAGCTAGATGAAGAGATTTCCATCGTTCGGTATTGTGCAGACTAAGATGAAGTCTTCCTAACTACAACCGCTGTTGGCAGCTTGCTAGGCATCTCAAAAACACCATTCGACTTATACGATTACTCCGTTCCTATTATAATATATCTATTTGAAGGAGCTTTTTAGCGCTGCGCATTTCGAAAAACTCTGAAAACATAGGACTACCGCATTATTCAGCACTAATCCTGATCGTAAGCTTTACAGCAAAATACACCGACTGGTAATCTTTTTTCTGTCTTAATTCAGTGGTTTAGACTTTTAGTTATTATCAATTTCCACCACCGCAATCCCAAATGAATCTCTACTAGCGATATGAGCGTCTCCCTGCTATTCGTTGCAACGGAACTCAATATACTATAACATGACGAGCTTGACTCGCGCGTCAACGCAAACACACGAAACGTCGTATGTTAGAGTAGTAGCAGTGGTAAAATGAAAGGAAAAGGTGGTGAACGTTCGGAAGACGAACACGCGTACCCGAGCGCCGACGATCGAATGCTAACATTCTATGCGAGCTGCTGCTGCTGCTGCTGCTACTGCATCGAACGCCGTCGGCACATCTGCGACGCAAAAACCCCTTGTGCTTCGCTAGTAAACCCTAAAAAAATTAACCCTTCCTATAGTTCTGGCCATTGCCTACTCTATATAGGTTCAAAATTGGAAATTACAGTGTGACTGAGGGTAGACGGTGGCAGGTGCAAAATTCCGTAGAACTATTCAGGGGCAGCATGGCCTAGTTGGCTAATGCGCATTACTTTCAGCATGCTGCCATGGTAGACTTGACTACCAAGCATACTGCCATGTTAATTCAAATCTAGTGTGGGCAAAATTTATTATCAGATATTAATAATCAGCAAATTAAACAATTAAAAAAAATGAGGAGTTCAAGAAGTTACTATTGTTGAGATTAGCAGCGGGTTTGTTGGGAAAACCAGTCAGCAGAACCCACTTCGGTTAAATTTCTGGTGGGAGCAAATTTCTGCTACGACTAGTAAATATATGTTTTGAATCTTGCACTGTGTTGGCATTATTGCTATTATCACTAACGAAGGCTCACTTTTTTAATTCGATGGCGCGTCGAAAAAGCCAGTTCATGAAGATTTCCTTGAGAACGATGCAGATCCAGATCAACAGCATGGTGCCAAAGACGATGAGAGCCATAAATGTTTCGGTTACCGGAAGGATCCATTCACAAAGCGGAGGCTCCATGTCGTATTCGCCGTTCTCTAAGCAAGTAATTCGTTCAGGCCCCACCATCGTGAAGCCCTTCCAGCAGCTGTAGGTCACATTAACCCCCACGGGATACTCAGGAATGAAACCTGTTTTGAGCTGGCGTTCCCAGATACCCTCAACTTTCGACTTGGTTGCAGCAGTTGCTACGAATGGTACACCACAATGTATAGGAGGAGCTTTGCAGAGCACCTGCAGTTCAACGTTCGCTTTCTCTGCTTCGATTTTGCCGACCTTTTCCATCGTGTCGATATCGGTGTCGAGTTTAAATGTGGCACAACTTCGGTTGTCTGCGGGACACCTAAAGAACACTTCGATTTCGTCCTTTTTGACGTACGCAAGAAATGTATGAACAAAGTATTTTAGATTCGGCCGACGCATCACCTCCTCCCTGGAGAGTTGCTCAGCATGGATCGAGCTGCACATCAGAGCTGAGTTGTTAGCATTGAACCTTTTTGTGTTCAGATAGAAGCACATATTGTCCATTGTCGAGATAATAATGTCCTTATTATTTGGGTTGTAGCACAGTTTCGGTGGCATTGTATCGGGGGACAGTACGGCAATTGTGCAGATGTCGACGGTTACGGCTGCCACTGATGTCTCAACGAGTTTAAGATTGACCACCGTGCCATTTCCGTTACATACAAGCTGAAAGCTGTTCTTCCGCATCGGGACGAGAACTGTTACCGAATCGCACATGACCCGACCGGCGTCTGGGTCATCTTCGGTTGGTGTTTCCATCCATGCTTCCATCTCTATCTTACCCTGGCCGACAGCCTCTTCGTCAGCCAGAGTTTCAGGTGTTTGTCGAAAACGCACTTCGAGATTGGTGACCAATGCGCTTTCTAACAACGTCACATTCCAAATGTATTCAATCCCGCCGATGCTCTGACAATAATCTTTATCAAACGACTTAAGAATCTCGGCCGATCCATCTCGGTTATGTTGGATCTTGAGATCGTTTTTAACTGCGACAAGATTGTTGAGACACTGCGGTACTTCAGGTGGTTCCCAACGATCAGACTCTGTACACAGTCTGCGAGGCTCGCCGAATAGGACTTGCCCCTCGTCACAGGTATATTCGATAGAATGCCCTCGTGGAAAGCGAGTCCATGTCGCGTTGATTAGGCGTCCGAACTTTGGTGATCCAGGGTGTGGACATGAAGCCGTGCATTGCTGCTGTCCTACTGCGATACACCATAGTACTAACAGTGTGCGCATCGTTCGATTGCGTTTGGTCGATCTTCTCAGCGACGGAAGTCGCTGAGCTGATTTTCGTAGACTCATAAGTGATTCTGAGACGTTTGGGTGGGCTGCGAGACTGTAGCCGACCTTCGGGCAACGACTAGCGGGCCTTTAGCCAGTGAGGGTTCTTTTGTCGCTTTTGGAAAGGGCTAGACTGGGCAAGTGTGTGGCAAGCTTAAAGTAGTCAAGACCCAACTGGTACTAGTCGTTCTACCACAAAAAAATAAGGCAGGACCATCTGTTAAACCTACGCTAATGCAGAACAGAGATTGTTGACTCGCACTGCCAGCAGCTTGAGCTCTCACACCTTCATACGTACAGTCAGTCAAGCGATGTCATTAAATCTGTGTAAGCTTCAGCAACCCCACTTGCGAGGTGACAGCAGGGTTTGTCTGAGTACACGTTATACTTGTGATACGATAATGTTAATGAAATTTCAGAATCTGTACTTTAGCTGTGTCTGCATATTGGTTATTTCCGCATATAATAATAGATCAAATAAATTATTCAGCGTTGTGTAGTGACTATAGCCGCGTGACTAGACCGCGTTTTGGCGAGCTCAGAGAGTGGCGCGCGCGCCGTCTGATGCTCTTTTTACTGCAGAAAAGGTAACCGTTTCTCGCTTCATAAGCGACAGTATTAAACGAATTTGGCGGAGTTTGAAGTTAAAAGCTTTTTGAACTGAGCGCCTCTAACAAACGCAGTTCAGTCTGTAAATACCTTAGTCCTATAGCAACGTGTGAGTGTAAACCGGTTGAGTAAATCAAGGATAAACGAATTCACAATAAAAAAAATATTTTTTGGTCGCGAAAATCAGCGTTCAGTGGTTAAGGTTTTGTTCTTCGAAGACCACAGTGCTGTGCAAATTCATTGAAGGCTAGTGATGACATCAGGCAAAGAAAGCTTAAATGAAAGCATAACTTGCAAATGGTGCAAGAACAATAATTGAAGTGTTAAAGATCAGTGAGGAGGTGATCAGATGTCGTGACTCGCAGCACAACAACACATTACTGCAATTCACGGGGCTTTTTAGGAGAACAGAGCTTAAAGTGTAAGGTCTTTGACGGTCAAAACTGGCACTTTACATGTAGCGTAATACATAACTAAAATCCAAATACTAGGGATGTGGAAATTGATTGAAAAATGACTGCCTAGTAAAGTGATTCCAGGGCATGTAGAAATGCGTCTGATGTATTCTATGGGCATTTGCGGATTTCTAATTAACAAGAATCCGCCTGAAGCATAGACGAGGTATGGCTAATCTTTACCGCCAACCAGAAAGGCATTAGGCGTAAGAATAGCGTGATCCTGGAGGAGAATCAAATTCGGTGGTGGTTGCATTGAGTACGTTCGGACATAAGGTGATAGTAATACTTACAATGGACATCAGAAGCGTAAAATACTTTCCGAAGATGAACAATAGATGTAGCCCGCTAACTCGGGTTTCTCGAAAAGAAAAAAACTGTGGACACGGATAAAGGTTTACCGTCAGCCGTAATTCAGCACTAAATAGCCTGATAAGGTGATTGGGCTTTTAGCGAGAATCTTTTTATTTTATTTGGTTGCTTGTTAAAAAAGTACATGCTATAATGCATTTCTACTTTGAAACAATGCGATATCAAATCGTATATACAAGATACTTATGGAACAATTGAATCCTGTTGGATTTTTACAGGCCTAATAATTTCAAGCATTAGAATAAAAACTTAATGCCGTTTGTCACTGGGAAATAGCGGTTAATAAAACTTTATAATCGCCGTGTAATACATTGAATGACATGTGAAATTTAATAGGAAAGAAGTCACTTAGAAGCCTTCTACATTTGAAGTTTAACTGCTTGTATTTATTTTAAATATTAATATTCAGATATGAACGCTTTCGATCAAGCGTCAGGCGGAAGCACAGATTTGAGGCGACACGTTTATAACGTTTTACGTTAACGTATCCTTGACAAAAGGGACTTATAAATGAGAGCTTCGCTCGACATGAAGCAAAACGCTATCATGAACACAGTATTGAAAAATCATATTTAAGTCTTTCTTTTTATCTTTTAAGGATTTATGGAATTTCATTTGCTAGACTATGGCTTGTACGAATTCTGTCTTGATGTGTGCACTCATGCAATTTTTTAGCCCGACACGTGTTATTAATGACGAACGAATGAACAGATTAATGTGTGCAAAGATTGTGAATTCATTTAATGTGTAAGCAGACACCTATTTTTCCTTTTCATGTTATTAATGCATCTCCTTTTTTGCCTGTATGTCCGTCGCACTCGAGCTTTCGACGGCTCGATCTTTGTTCACCTTTCGTTTCATTCCACAGGCTTTGCTGCACTGCGCGGTACCGTCCCAGTCTCTCGTGCAGTGACCTCGTTTCGAATCAGCCGCCAATCGTCACCCATTCATGCCACTTCCCTGCGCACGACAGTCGCCCAGAATACATCCATTCGTTTAGGTTTCTCCCTCTACCCACACATGCGCTAGACAATGTGCAAGACACGCGACGGTTGGCAACCGTGTTTAACGCTTGACAACATCGCGCTGGCTGGCCGCCGAATAGGGCATAGCACGGCTTTTTACTAGCAGACGAACGTACAGCAACAGTAGCAGCGGCAAGCAGACATTCGACTTGTTATACTGTGTAAATAGCTGTCCGTTGCGCTACTGAGTAAGTAGTGCTCGGATAGTAGTGTTCTGTGGGTCTGTGCTTCGTTTTCTCCCTCGCTCTCGCAAGATCCAGTCCGCTGGCGCCGTCTGTGTCCGCTGTCTGTCTGTCCGTCCGTCCGTCCGATCGGTATCGGCCTGTCGTCGTCCCGTGTTGCTTAGTTAATCCATCGGTGCGGTCCATGGTGGCCAACGTTGGTTTGGCCCGCTCAATCGTTGGTCCGTTGTTTAGCAGTCGTAAAGATAGCAGAGTCGGGTGAGCTGTGGCCTGCTGCGCTCGCTGAGAACAGCGCTGGCGCTCGTTACAACGGACGACAGTACTAGCAGCAGCAGCCGCGGCGGTAGCAGCAGCAGCAGGCGGACTCCAGTTTGAGCAGCAAGCAAAGATACGACGATTAGTTGGCTAGGCAGTGTCATGGTCGTGGTGTAGTGTAGGACAAGACCTAGGAACCTCAGGACATGAGAAGAAGAGAAGGCAGAGGAGAATGATGTACAAGCGGTCGGGCAACCAATCAAAAACGGCAGACAACAGTAGGGACAAGTGGTGACGATGGTAGCAGCATTGTAGGAGATGCTGCTGCGACAGTCGTCAAGTTGTATGAGGTAGCTACGATAGGGGCTACATTTACAGTGTAGTCATGCGATAGGAAAGAACGGTGAACAGCGACTAAAAATAGTATAATCACCACTGAGTGAGCGTGTCTGTGCTGTTGTTGATGAACTGCTCCCCACCCTGTAAAAAGCACAAACAGATACGCACATCGTGTACGACTGGAACCAGCGGTCCGCGGGCTGATTGACCGAAAACGGTCGAACTCCTTTGGCCATCAAGAACACCAGCGTAAACAGAATGAGCTGGAGCGTTGCTGCTACTAGTAGGACAATTAGAACGGTTTGAGTATTGATCGTATCAGACTATATTTGTTCATATGATTATTCTATGTAACTGCTCTCTTTGTTGAGCTCTATGTGTAGAATTCTTCTAGAAAGTGGTCTACCTGGGGTACTCACCACTCAGACAACGTGACTTCTGCTCCTTCATCCTCATTGCGTAGCTATGACAACAATAGGCCACTTCTAGTACCAGTAGAGTCGAAAACAACTGTATGAAAGGCGGTCAGAAATTGAAGGCCGCAGAAAGTATCGCTCACCTATATACATATATAGGTGAGCGATACTTTGGTGAGCGATATATATATATATATATATCAATATCTCTATATATATATATATATATATATATATATATATATATATGCCTATTGTAAAATCACTGTCAACTAAACAGCTGCAGGCAGCACGATTAGTATATTTGTAAAGAAACACCAACTATATTATAAATGGTCTTCATTAGCGCGGAAGCAGCATCGAGTTATCCTTGTTATTCCGCCGGTTAAATGTTTGCCAGTGGTGCCACTTTTACCGTAGATTTCGCTCATTCGTATCTCCAGAGTCCTGTTTAGCCATAAACTCACTCGATCATTAAGCAAGGCCAATTATATCTGTCGCAAAGTCGCTACCCTTAATTCTCGATGGTTGTACCCCGTATATATTTTGCCGCCACTCAGATTTATGGTTGTTGTGCTGCAGTTTTTGCAGATGGCTGGTGAAGAGTAGTAAGTCTCTAGTAAATTATCGTGTTACTTTGCCAATAAAAATTAAGCAAAAGGAAGCAAATCGAGGTGCTGGCCGCCTCATAGTTCATTGCTCGAACTCAAAATCGAGTACCTGCAACGCACGCGAATTCTGAGATAGAAAGCCAGAGGGAACCAAATCAATACGTTTCCCATCGGACTGCACGAGCCACTTTTACCTACTCTCGTGTGTATGTCGTTTTTCAACAAACAGTCTGACCTCTGTAAAGCGTGCGTTTCCGCCATCGCTACTTTCATCACCGTTGGACGAAATATCATCGTATCTTGAGCGAATCGCGCCTGTGAGCAAAGATCGGGGAAAAAAGAAAAGCAGTTCTGCCCAATTAATAGCTATAAAGCCATTAGCTATTCCGCTACTGTTAACAGACATTATTGGCGAGGACAGTCGGTAACGGCGTTAAGAAGTACGAACCAAAGGTGTCTGAAGCTGGCGCCAAAAACGGAGCCATAGTGACCGATCGTTTCGTGAAACAGTTCTTTTGGAAGTACGATGAAAACAGAATTATAATGTTATAAACGACGAGTGAAGTGCATACAGAAGGTGATGGCTTTTATTTCGAGAAAGGGCCACGGAAAACTAGAGTTGCAGAATCAACGGTTGAAACAACGTCACCGATTCGGTTGATTGGTCGGCGACATCATCGTACTTCTACTACTACGTAAGTTACGTGTTGGCTAGTTTGTGTTAATTTCATTTGATGTGACTAAACGGGACTAAAGTAGATATGTATAAAAGT